AGCGGATTAGATATAGTAGGATTTTAGTCAACGCTGCTTAATCGACTTGAAGGGCTGTGCGGCTGATATCGTCGCAATTAGCTGGAGCGGTTCCAAGAGGGACGGGATAAACCCCTTTAGCGGCGTTTCCTTCAGTGAGCAAGCCGGCCTGAGGCGGCACCATTCCGCTTCTCCTGACACCGCCTCGATTGCGAATCTTCTACACAATAAAATGACAGTTGATGTCGTCGCAACCAGTCGAGGCGGAGTCAGTAAATTTCCTGACCGTGCGTGCCTGAATAGTGACCGCTTAGTGATCAATTCAGAAAGAAAACAGCAGAGATAGAAAGCGCCGCGCGCGACCTCATTCAACGCCTCCTGACACCGCCCCCGACCGATTGCAACGATGTCAAATGACCAATCAGTAAATAACAACACCAACCTCTCCACGAAGATCCACTATGTTGGCATCAAAATTGCTGACTAAAAGCCTCTCAGGCGTTCGCTGAGATGAAACGACTTTAAGGCATACACATGGAAGATGAATATTTGCTCTTAGTGTCTGAAAAATTTAGTTTTTGAAAATGGAGTACCAAGAAAGTAAAGTATCAAGTGAAGGATAAGTACAATATCTTAAGTGTCGATGAGTAATCAAGGGTGTAGCGAGCAGCGCCTTGCAATCTCCCAAGGAAATATTAATGAGCCTTAAGGGCAATGCCTTTCCCAGGGTTCAGGCCTCGAAACTTTCATATGGAATTGATAAATAACAGAAGAAAGCCTCCAGTCTCACTTCGTATCTTGTTCCACACAAGGTCAGATAATCATTTAATCGGGGATGGACGACTCTGCCGTGAGCTGGGTAAGTCATGTCGCTCACGCCGCGCGCGGTGAATGGCGCGGCAATTTTAGAGCTGCATTGACGCATCCATGAGCTATCATTGGAGCAGATACTTAGCATTGTTACATGGCCCCTTCTACCGACATTCCACTTCCCCGGTGTTCTCTCTAGCAATTTGAATGAGCCTAAGACAACATAACTCGTACGCAACAGCTGCGGCGTCGGCAGCACGCCCACTAGCGCGGCTAGCGCTGCCCCACGATCAGATCGCCACATACTCAATAGCAACCAATATGCGGTTGCTACCACGTCTACAAGCAAGTCCGTCGTCATTCTTTCTCTCCTCTCCATCAGTTCCTCTCCGCCCCTCCTCTCCGGGTTGTGCACCCCCGGTGTGCCGCCACTCGTTTTCTGACTCGGCGATGTACCTGTGTGCCGCTTCACTCCATATCATTTTGGCACCCGTACAGAGAGTCAAGAGCCATTTCGCTATGTCCCAACAATCAGCACACATTAATACAAATAAGGAGACCAAAAGTAACAGAACGGTGACGGAAATCACTCTGAAACTAA